TGGGTCACCCCCATCCCCAGCTTCTGTGCCCAGAGTGGTGGGGACATGGAGGTCCGGGTGTCCCACCCCATCCCACCCCATCCCACCCCATCCCATCCCATCCCATCCCCACCCTATCCCATCCATCCCATCGCATCCCATCCATCTCATCCCTATCCCACCCCATCCCACCCCATCTCATCCCTATCCCACTCCATCCCATCCCATCTCATCTCATCCCTATCCCATCCATCCCATCCTATCCCATCCATCTCATCCCATTCCCTATCCCACCCCATCCCACCCCATCTCATCCCTATCCCACTCCATCCCATCCCATCTCATCTCATCCCTATCCCATCCATCCCATCGCATCCCATCCATCTCATCCCTATCCCACCCCATCCCACCCCATCTCATCCCTATCCCATCCCATCCACCCCATACCATCCCTGTGACAGATGAGCTGAGCACATGGGGCAGGAGGATCCCGGATGACAAGGGGATGCAGGATGTGAAGCAAAACTGGAAACAAGCTGCTCTGGAGCCTCTGCATCTGCTTTCCATGGCTCTGAACCTTCCCTGCGAGGAGCCATGGGGCTGCCCAGGCTCCGTGCTCTCATCCCACCTCCTCCCATCACCCACTTCAGAGGCAGGCGCTGCTGGGGCAGGGAGCCCAGGAATGGGGCGAGGTGTGCTCAGCACCCTCCCATGCCGGGCAGCACCGCTCCAGCTGCACGCATCAGCCCATCACAGCGGCACAGAGGCATCACCAGTGCTCCCAGTTCCATGGGCTCCCCCCAGCATCTCCCACCCCCCACCAGCATCACCTACGCCCGCATCCCTCCCGCATCCATCACCCAGCCCTGCTCCCACATGGCAGGAGAAGAGGCAATCCTGAATATGCATGAGGTGCAGGTTGCTCAATAATCACGCCTGAGAAACGTCCAAATATTTACACAAACAAACCTCCACTCACAGGAACCAACCGAAAACAGCCCTCATCTCAGCGACGCCTTAATGGGGGCCACCTGCACCACGGGCACCCGCTCCCAGCACACCGACACGCGGCGAGATGCTACAATGGGGTGGTGGGAAAGGCTGGGGGGAAGCCCACCGACCACGCTCCTGGTGCTGCTCCCCATCTGTGTCCAGCAAAGCCCCCAGTGCTGGGGAGCAGACTGGGGTGGGAGCGGGAGGCGATGCAGCTCCGATGGTAGCTCCGAGGGACCCTGGGGGCTGAGCACCCTGCTTGTGGTTGGTTTGTAACCAGGATTTTTTTTCCCCAAGGAAAATACAGGGAGCAGAGGGCGTGTGAGGGAGGGCTCCCCAAAATGGAGCTCTGATTCATGAAAGGGGGGGGGGGGGCCCGTTATTTGCTCGAACCAAACG